TAAAAACATATATATATATATACATATACATATACATATACATATACATATACATATACATATAAATATACATATATCATATAAATATCATATACATATACATATACATATACATATATATATTGTATACATATATATATATATCATATACATATACATATACATATACATATACATATATATACATATATATATACATATACATATACATATATACATATATATTGAGTTTGTTCCACAAAAAAGAACACCGAATAACTAGTTTTGCGACTTCAATCATCGCAAAACCAGTTATTTTGTTTATGAAAACCAAATTACTTCACCGATTTCGATAAAATTTCTACGAAACCAATTTGAAAGTATATACTTTCACATTATAAAAGGAATTTTCCAAATCGGTCTATAAATGACGGAGTTATAAGGTAACAAACATAAATAAGTACAGCCTAATTGGGAATCTTCTTCTTTTCATAAATTGACGAGCAAAAATACGAACAAACGAACAAATAAACATAATATTTTCCTTTCAAATGTATTCTATTTCACAAAATATTCCTGTGTTACATACTAGCTCGTTCGTAAATATAATTAAAGTAGGTAGATATTGCATCAGTTGATTCATATGAATAGGTAATGCATGTTGTAGTTGATACAGGTCTTAATAAACCGTATACATAATTAGATTGTATTAGTAAGAAACTTACTAAATTATCTAAAAGAATATGTATAATTATTATTATAAATTATATCTATGAATTAGATTACCCATTATAAAAAAAAAAAACTTATTTTTTTTATAACGGGTAATTACATTAATATAATTATATATATTTTACATTATTACATGTATCATATCTCTATATTAAGAAATAATAGAATTTCATCGTGCCTCCGATTAAACTGTTTATAATTACCCCTCTCCATCCAAAGGTTGCCTGGAAGAGATCGCTTTTAGCAATAAGGTCGCCCATTGTTTTCTAATTGTGATTATTTCTTGTAATTGTTTATATTTATAATAAGTTTACTATTGTAATCTTTTGGGGAAAACAATAAAGAATATCTATCTATCTATCTACATTTTTCCAAGATACAGCATGAGGTCGTTTAAAAAAGGGATAAAGAGCAGGCAACGCGCGCGTAATGCCTCTGGAATTGCAGGCGTTTATTTACTACGGTAATTACTTACCATCAGGTGAGTCGTATGCTTATTTGCCACCTCAGTGGTATAAAAAAAAATTAAGTAAGCAAGCTAATTTTAAAGACTCTCGTCTAAAAATACATGAGGGACCAGCTATCCGATAATGAGCATAATGCACGAAAAATTAAATTAATAATAATTACTTAATTAACCTAATCTTGCCGGCGGAAAGGGATTGCTAATAATAGAGACTAATGACCTTATTGCTAGTAATATGTATTTTTCCTAGTAAGTCCACAGTACTCATGTCTATAGGCGACGGTTACCACTTTCCATCAGGTGGGCCGTCAGCATGTTCGTCATTCTAAGTTACATAAAAAAAGGAAAAAAAATACCTCACTATCTCAACGTGGTTCCCCCTGGAAACCATCGTGATTAATTCTAGATCAATTCATTTTCTGTTAATTTAAAATTCATTATTGTTGATACAAATATTAAAATAGAACCTTTAGGTCGTATGTATATAGTATTTTCTATACTACATATTACGTGATATTTAGTACAAGGTCGATATCGTACTAACGCAGTAGGCGTATACCTAATCAATTATATGAACAGCAAGCCTGAACTTTAAACTTATCTAAAGGTCCATTCCTATGTAAGTGACTATAATTGTTACACCTTCGACTGCAGTACAATATAAGAGACGACAATATATATTTATAATTATTTCAGCCGTTAACTGTCCACTGCTGGACATAAGCCTTCCCCATAAGGGGAGTTTTACCAGTAATTGCCACACTTGGCAGGCGTATTGGTAACCGCAGTTAGGCTTTTAGAGATATTTTAAGAAGGACGCTGCTGCTCATCTCTCTCTTACAACACTCACGAAAAAGAAAGGGGTGGCCCAGTCTATGCCGGAGCACACGTGGCGATATAATTAGCTGACTCGTTTTTTTCTTTTTTTTTTTTCTTTTGTAATGTTTTATAGACTTACGCACATAATGTATCTTGGCATCTATATTTAATTATTTGTATGTATAATTATGTATATAAAATAAAAAATTTTTTAGCGCATTAAAAATGCGCAGAATTAATAAGACAAAACACAAGTTTTGTTTTTTTATACAACTTAGAATGGCAAACAAGTTATTGACGACTCACCTGATGGAAAGTAATAAACGGATAGTCGTTGATTCAACATAGGTACGTCGTCTGCAATCATAGATCCATCTTTGGTTTTGAGCAGTACCATGGACATAACAGAGTATACTGTTTCGCCCATGATACCCCCTGTGCCCTCTTATCCATTGCGTTGCCACTCATTCAATTATTAGTGACAATATATAGTTATTTATCACGTTAAAAATTTAATAAGACAAAACACAAGTTTTTTTTTCTAATTGTATGGAGCATTTGTATGGAGACACTCTATCTATATAATCTAAGTCCACAGGATATAATGATCGCTAAGAAATTATTGACGTACTAGAAGCAGAATCGCTTATACCTTAACAGACCTTTATTTCTAGTCAATATTTAGATCAACAACTCAACTAGTCTTATATGTTAGCTTATATCTGTTGAGACCCTTTTAGATAAGTCCACATTATAAAGATACTTGCTACTGTTTAGACAAAAGTGTAAGAAATGTTAAAAGCCGGTCAAGTGCGAGTCTGTCTCGCTCCCTCGGTAGTTCCGTACAAGTAAAAAAAAAAACAACATTTTGCAAAAATCTTTTTTTGTACTTGTGATATATGTAACTACAAATTTACGACTTCCTGTTTTTTTCACTTGTGCTGTACGACATTGCTTCTTGCCAAATTTCATAATTTTATATCTAAAGGCTTTGATTTTCTTGCAAATTTTAAAATATATGCTATAAACGGCCATATCTAATGAATGGGTCGACTTAGAAGTTTGATTTTTTCACAACTTCAGGAAATTGCAGAGTTGAGTATTTGATATTCATTACAGCTTGATATTTCTACGCGATCTCGAGAAAAAAGATCTTACAGACGGACAGACTGACAAACCATTTTTCCTTTTTAAACCAAAGGGAGACTAAGATGCATAAAAAACCGAACTCTAAAAAGAGAGAGAGAGTATTGACTCTTTCGCATTCTTAGCATTTTTGAGCCAAATGAACTTCGTAAGAAGATTTCCACGTGACACCCTTTTACGACGCTCCATACAAGAAAATAATTTTCATTTCGGCTGTTTTTTACAAGTACACGTGTTAATAATAAGTGATTCCAATTTTATTGGAAAATTATTTATTGTACACATATTTATTTTTCTATCTGACCCGATATTGGTTGGCATCTATAACTATTAAATCTCTTGTCCGAAAATCGGAGGAATACTGACAAATCTGTTAAAGGTAATCCACTAATGGATCTTGAGTCCCAACGGACGAGTCGACCTTCGTGACTGCGTGGAACTTTGCCGCTATACATTATTTTTCCGACTTCATAAAGAACGAGATTCTCAATTCGTTATATTTTTTTTTTATATTTGTTACGTCATAAGTCCGTCAGGTATAAAGCGATTTGGCCAAATACTTTTTTTATTTGAAAAGATATATATATATGTACTTACAAATTGGTTTTATGAAAATTTTATCAAAATCAGTTTTAAATGAAAATAACTAGTTTTACTATAATTCAAGATAGTTTTTTTTTTTTTTTTGTGGACCACAATTTTAAATTTATATACGATTTGGAATAGCTAACAAGACGACGCCCAATCCACAGATGCAAAATTTACCACCTTCTAAAGAAGTGAACAGTACAGTATACACTGTGATGCCCATATACCTCATATGCATTGCTATTTCAGTGGATTAAGCAATTTCTGTTAATTAAAAGTAAAATGTAATCTCTCCATGCAAGAGAAAATTAACCTATCTACTTCTTTATGAGTTTAACCATGCTAACTTATTATCTGTCTACAAAAATCTTCGTAGACACATTAGATTGCAGTTTTATTCATCTTAATTTTTTTATTGCAACTTAGAATGCCAAACAAACTGACGACTTACCTGAGGAAAAGTGGTAACCATCGCCTATAGACATGAGCAGTATCATGGATATAACAGAGTATACTGTTTCGCCCATGATACCCCCCATGCGTTGCTATTTCTGAGGACTCAGGTGTTATTCTTCTATACCCTGTAAATTCACTGCCATATCTCACCCTTCAAACTGAAACACAGTCATGCACATAGCCACACAACTGCTTCCCGGTTGAAACACGAATGCGAAAGAGGTGCCCAAGCAAACGACTTTTGTACAAAATCTTCCTCTGATGGTGGTAAATATAAAATTAAAAATATGAAAATTACAGGTGAATATTAATTTTGTCATCATGACTTACTATTTTCTTTTTTTTTTTGCAAAACAAATCCACTTTTGATATCTTACACTCCATTGTTTCCTTTTGCCCGATATCCTGTTTAATACCATTTTACCAACATTTCTAACTAGACGGGAATACATAATTCATGAAAATATTTCAATAGTCAATGTCTGTCTTTAAAATTCTTTTGTATCAACACTTGCTTTTATTCCCAGGCCATATTTTCCTGTTACACGGCCTAGTACACCAGAACAATGGGAGTAAGGATGAAAAAGGGGAATACCGTCCAATACCCGTATACGAACGAAGCTCAACAAAAGCGCTTCATAAAAATGAGAGAAGCGTCGCGAACGTCGGAATAACAATCGCTCCATACAAATAGACCGCAAAGTTCAACGCACACGACAAGTGACGTTATACCCCTGCCGATTTGAGGAGACATTCAATACATTGGCAATAAACTCGGCAAGGTGCACTCTTTAATGCGGCCAACACTGGCAAAACAAGAGTGGTAAGTGACGTTCACATTCACCTGCGCGCGCGACTATTCCGCAGTCGTGCACCGTAAACCGAGCCTGTCGCTTCCATTTTCAAACGCGTAACTTTTTTTTTCGACGACATTCGTTGCAGTGTGTGTTGCCTGTTACCCTTACGGACGACCTTATTTGTGAGTTATTTTTTTATTTTTATTGTATTATTATATAAAATTAACAACTTTTAGAATTATCTTATTTAACTTATGTGAAACAGAATTAAAAAAATATTAAAATTACAATACTACATGAAAGTACCCTACATAGTATAATTTTATTAACAAATAAAATATCTACTATGATTTGAGAATGTACAATATATGAATCAGTCGAGTGTGTCCGTTATAAATTCTCCTTTTATGAACACTAGTAACTGTTTTCAATTATAAGGTTCACTCATAACGAGTCCTGCAAGCACATTATGTCATATGCTGGTGATCATACGGACAGTGAAAGTGGAATTGTTACTTTAATGCGTACTGTAGGCAAATAACGGGCACATAGAAAATTGTTACATAGAATTTGAAAGACGTATTTGTTCAGCAAATATTACATATATTATGTTTCAAAGTTGGTACCGCGCGCGATACATGTGAATGAAGAAATATTTTTGTCTCATCTTTTCCATGTGATTCATTAAATTTAAACAGTATTCCAATAAAACATATTCCCTTGATAATATGCCGCTTTGATAAGGCTTGGTGCCCCAAATATTTCAAGCGGAAAATTTATTGTATCTACAAATATGAAATGAAGCTAGAGTGACAAATACCTATAATATAATAAAAGCTCGGTACACCGTCTGCTTCGCATATATTTTAATCAAAATAATTTTCAAATATATATATTTACATTTATAATTCTTAAACAAACAGAAGCCTCATTCATTAAGAATCAAATATATGCGCATAATTACAAACTAAAGGTTTATTTTTAGTAACTAGTAACTTTTTTTTTGGCACAACCTCTTAACGTAATCTAATGGTGAAAACATTGTGTTGTTTTTAATTTTATTAATAAGTATTTCTCATTATTTCTATAGTACATTATGTATGATTCTCATATGAAAATGTGTGATGGTCATATGTAAGACATGAATTAGCATTTCTTCATTCATAACTAAAATAATTTAGTATTCTTACCTAAATAAAAGCTAAATAAATCTATTCGACCGATATTTAATAATATCTATATTATTAAATCTATTTTATGGGTAGGTACTCCTACAAAAAATCTTTTATGTAGGGCTACAATTGAGTATAATTACTTACTTTAAGAGAAGTTGTTCTACTAAAGTGAACAGTTTTATATCATTATCACATTGACCTTTTACTATTTTTTTTTTCACTTGTTTGCGAACAAAAAAGTTGCCAGTTATTTTAAGCAAATACCAACCTACATACTCGTAAAATACTCTTTGGCTCTTCAAATAGAATTGAAAATAACGTGTTCTCAATTCAAATTTCTGTTCGATATATGAATAAAACATTAAGTCATTGTGGAATTAATTTAAATATTATTTTATCTCATTGAAGACCAATGCGGATTGGTAAGGCAACGTGTCTTGTTTCGTGTTAAAGAAGTCTGTATACTATCAGTTTGGTTTTTTAAACTACTGGATCGCAGTATTGGCTCATTTTATCATATTTTATCACCAAGGACATCAGGAATGTACATATGCAGTGTCTACTATATTTGGGTATAATATCTAAGTGTGAAACTAGAGTGTGAAAGTACTGCGCAGAGATGTTGCATCTCTGTGCATCTTCTACCGAATTCATCATGGGAAGTGCTCTGAGGAATTGTTCGGATTGATACCTGCTGCTAATTTTCACCACCGTACAACCCGCCATAAATTAAAATTTCATCCCAACCATCTGGACCTCCACCAGTGTTATAAAAAAAAAGATTATTTGCCATACTATATTGCATAAAAAAAAATAGTATTCTATTCGTGTAGAAACCCACTTTCTATTGATAATCAGCTCATTTCCCGGTAGTATAAAGAAAGTAGCTCAGAAAGGACAGAGCAAATTAGCCGTGATACCGGGGCAGACTATAGATAACCGTTCTGACTCCATCCTTCCGCTCTTAAGATTTCGACAACTTACTGTAGACAAACACGCAACAGAAATTGCGTGTAACTGGAAACGCACCCAGCCCAAATACCTTTTTTTCTTATACAACTTAGAATGGCAAACAAGCTGACGGCCCACCTGATGTAAAGTGGTAACCGTCGCCTATAGACATGAGCAGTACCATGGACATAACAGAGTATACTGTTTCGCCCATAATACTCCCCATGCGTTTGCCATTCCTGAGGACTCAGGTGTTATTCCTTTGTACCCAGTAAATTCACGCCATATCCCACCCTTCAAACCGAAACACAGCCATGCAAACACAACTGCTTCACGGTTGAAACACGAATGGGAGAGAGGTACCCAAGCATTCGACTTTTGTACAAAGTCTGCCTCTGGTAAAATATATATATATCTAATATATGTATATCTGAGACTGGCGGGTTCCAATCCCATAGGAAGATCACGTTTCAAACCTAATATTTAGGAATTCGGACATCCCGACCGAACCGTTCAGGCTTCCTGTACATTTTATTAAAACGTAACAAAATTATTTTAAATTAGAGATCGACACGATAATAAACCTAAAAAGAAAATAAATCATGAAAATCATTTTATAATTGAAAATGTTACGTTTTTTTGTACCACACAAAAGACAGAGGCAAATTGAGAAGCTCATCCTTTGAAAATGAGATACTGCACGGTCATCTTAAGTAAGGGGAGAAGTTAAGTTAAGACTTTCCATAATATACGCATGAGAATAATTAGGAAAATATGAAACAAGAAATTTATTTTGATGCTTAGTAATTTTTACAGACCTACCCAAAACAGTCTTTTAAAAAAAAAAATTACGATGATATCAGCCGTTCACCGTCCACTGCTGAGCAAGCCTTCACCTTGGGGAGTTTTGCCAGTAGTTGCCACGCTTGGCAGGTAGGTCGACAACCACAGTTAAGCGAAGGAAAATGGATTATCAGTAATGGGGTTTAACAGCCTCAATACTAGCAATACCATATACCCTAACAAATCAACCTCCACGCGGTTTCCCCTGAAAACCATCGTGGCTAATTTTTGACGAATTGCTCACGATGGGCTAACGGATCTGCTTTCATCTTCATCTATCATCTCTCACTGGTGCCCCGCCAGCGTATACCGGTAGTGCAGGAAGGGTTGCCATTTCATCTTTATCCATTAAAAAAAAACATAGTTAAGCTTTGGTGACATTTTAAGAGAGAGGTTCCTGCCCATCTCTCGACCATTAGGTTTCCTTAATCACCTCTTTAGACACCTACAGAAAAGAAAGGAATGACCTATACTAAGTCCACAGGGCCGTTTTTTAATAAAAAAATTAATGGTCAAAAATAATTAACCACCTCATTACCTACCATTACATTATGTTCTGAATCAATCCGAATTAGGTGCAAAGATCCCGGCGTAAATATTAGATAGGAACTCCTATCAAATAAACATTGGGTATGTTAGCGAACGTTTTTTGCAAAATCTTTTATAAATTGTCGACCGCTTTACCTCTGGTCACTATACATCACCATAATTGCCACTTAAAGACACTTAGGGTCAGGAAATACCATTTCGTTCAATTATAGGCACCTCCCATAAATCGTGGATGGGAGCGTATCTCTCGTGGTGAAATGATAGCTCAACTAGTTTCCGAGTTGTTTTTCATCTTTATTCTTTACTATCTTTTTGTCCGTTATTTCGTATGCGTATGCGTGGAATTCAGAAGTAGGAGAACCAATGAAATACTCTATTTCTAGATAGCGTATCAAAATAAAACATAAATAGTTTTTAAGTTAGACCTTTAGGAACACAACAGTGAAAACTGCATTTAATTTAGTGCATAACTTTTGTGTGATGCCAGAACAAACATACAGACAGATAGACAAAATTTCTAAAAAATATTATTTTGGCTTCTATTACTTCTATTAAAATCCTTTACATTTTTTTATATATAATAGATTCTTCCAAGAACTGACAAGCGATGGGGAAAAAAGGTTTTTGAGTGGTGACCCCGTACGGGCAAACGCAGTGTAGGACGACTCCCCACTATAGGAGTGACGACCTGAAATGCATTGCAGGGAGTCTGTGGATGCAAGTGGCTCAGATCCGTTCTTTATGGCAGTCTGTGGGAAGGCTTATGTCCAGCAGTGGACGGATAATGGCTGAAATGATGATATCTTCTATGTACAGACATCATTCAGTTACAATTTTATTATATTAGTAAAATTGATCACAAGTGCACCCTCATACCTTAGAGCCTGGATGATCGCATACTACGTGCTTTCAGAAATGCTTCCTTCCACAAACGTTTTGGTTATGGAATGAGCTCCCAGTCTAAGTTTTCCCTAAAGACTACAGCATGGTTGTTCTTCGAAAAAGGGTAAAAATATTTCTTCAGGACAACGTGCACGTAATGTCCCTGGTATTGCAAGCGTTTATAGTCCACGGTAACCGTTTACCATCAGGTGGGCCGTAAACATCTTTGCCACCTCAATGGTATAAAAAAAAATCAGAAGTAGGTACGAGTCGATAAATGGCAAAAAGAGCAATTTTGTATTATGTTCAACGATTTAAACTCTCACGAGTACCAAATAATAATTTAGTCAATTTTGACATTAATTTACAAACTTTATTTTGTAAAATAAATTATTTATCATCTAATCTAAGTTGGTAGTTTAAAATAAAAATAAATTATATCATAGAAGTATAAAATTACATGTCAAAAATATAATTTTCAAATAGTAATAAACGTATCAAGGTGCTTAGTTATTGCCAGACAGCAAGTGAAAGTTAATGTGTCTTCAGATTTATCTTTAGATATTTTATCTTCAGTCTTCACATACGAGTACATTACAGACTAGTGAAAGTATCATACGTAAAAAATAACCAAAATTATGTTTCATTAGAGAATATTATATGGATCCTTACTAATAAAATAATTTATTCATTTATACTTTTGCACACATTAAAATATGTCTATAGGGCGGACTTAATGCCTGATGGCATTCCCTACCAGTCAACCGTTACGTTAAACAGAG